TGGGCAGCCCGCCCTGCGACGGCGCGTCCCCACTCCAGCGGCGCAGCCGCTGCCGCTCGCCCGCTCCAGGCTTCGGCTGCCGCCGGCCGGCCAGCTCCTATGGCTCGCAGAGTTAGGCTACTTGTCATGTACCAATCAAAATTGTAGGGACGACCAGACAGACAGTAGTCAATCATCCCTAACAATATGATTTTTCCCCTAAAATAATGTTGTTTTATGTCAACCGCTCCTAAAAATATGTAGATTCTAAGGGGCGGTTTTATTAAGCAACTACAGTGCATCACAGCATTTGCAGAGACAACCATGAAAAAGAAAGACCATTGAAATCATCTGTGCACTAGTGTGGTATATTCAACAAAACACAATAATAACACATATATGTTTGTATTTATAACTAAGGTTTATACTCCGTTCTGGTACCGGTTAGAACTGACGTCGGTATATCTTGTACCGGTGGATAAACTGGTATAGAAATGAATCTATCCAGCACTGGTCTCAATATGGTCAATACCAGCCGTTCTGGCCAATACTGGTCATTCGACCATTGGTACTGGCTAAAAGACTCAAGTAACCCCTCATTTGATATGCAATTTTATAAATTAAACTTGATGAGCCATGTGCTATCTTCACCTAACTTTATTTATTTATAGAAATGATAATGGCCAAGGTTATATATAAATATATCACATATGATTATTTACATGTAGATATATTTATATATCTCTATTTTATTAAAGTCTGGAACAACATATAGTGTACACAACGCCGGAATGACCTCAAGAATAGTATTTAGGCCAGTCTCCATCGTGAGTTTCGTAATACAATTACCAAGACTGTCATGTCAGTTTTTCTATTGGTAAATATGACAAGGGTTTCATCCGGATGAAACTCTATGAAACTCTCTATTTCTCTTCATAATTAACCTGCTAATTCATCAAATCCGTTGATGTGTTATAATATTAAATGCAAATAAAACTCAGATAAAATCTCCACTGAGATTGATCTTATTACAAGCATTCTTTGGTTGCAGTTAATTTGTCATTCTACTTACTACTCTAGCACTGAATATGACGCAAGACTTCCTTTACGTACCTCGTGAAAATAATGGAAATGGAAATAGGGATATATATATATACCCTCGACAAGGGAAAAAGAGAAAAACAAACAAAATTCATGCTTGTGCATGGGATAAGATAAGAAGAGGACCCGCACGAGCTAGAGCATTATTGACGACGTGCATAATGGAGGAAGATATATATATATATATATACACGTAGGATGTACATATGCATGCACATATATGACCACTTATCTAAATCTCGATCGGTGACGACACACTTGCATGGTTGGCCATGTCTGCTTTCGGGCCGGCCGTCCATGTGGTGACGTGGGCACGGGCAGGTACGAATAGCTTGGAGCCTTGGACACGTATATATATATATGGATGAAAACGGTATGGATATTTATTCGACCGTCCGTTCGACCGAACAAATATGAACACTTATCTGAATAGTTACTCGGATATCCGTAATTTTTTTCGGATACGGATAATAAAACGGATATCTTAGGCGGATATCAAATACGAATGTAATATCATCGATATCCGGCGGATATCGGATAATCCGGTTAAGTATCGGATATATCCGGATATTATTCAAACGGATATTATCCGGATATTATTCAAACGACCTTGGATGGAGAAATGATCAAAATAAAAATTGTAGATCTCAAAAAGTTATGAAACTTTGTTGTTTACAACTTTTTCGTTTGAAATCATTTAGTGCTTCAAAATTTAAACCGTCTAAACTTTCTCAAATGGAAAACTAGTTTATAAGCGTCAAAATTTAAAAATCACAAATTTGAACCATCCAAACTATCTCAAATGGAAAGTTGACCAAAACAACAATTGTAGATCTTGATGAGTTGAACAAATTTGGTATTCAAAACTTTTCAATTTAAAGTCATTTAGAGTTTATAATACTAGAGTCAAAGTGTTATTTTTTCATTTGACCAAATTTGACTTGGTCAAACTTGCTCAAATAAGACACTAAATGACCTCAGATGAAAAAACTCTGAATACCAAGTTTTATCATCTCAGCAAGATCTACAATTGTTACATAGCTCATTTTTCCATTTGAGAAAATTTTATCAAACACTAGTCACAAATTCTTCAATCTCATAGATTTTCTGAAACTATGTCACACACTTGTGAAATTTGAACTATATTTTGTTCAAACTTTCTCAAATGAAAAAATGACCTATATAAGGATTGTAGATCTTGATGAGCTGAACAAACTTGGTATTCAAAACTTTTCAATTTGAGACAATCTAGGGTTCCGAAAACTAGTTTGTAAACGTCGAAATTTAAAAATCACAAATTTGAACCGTCCAAACTATCTCAAATGGAAAGTTGACCAAAACAACAATTGTAGATCTTCATGAGTTGAACAAACTTAGTATTCAAAACTTTTCAATTTGAAGTCATTTAGAGTTCATAATACTAGAGTCAAAGTGTTGTTTTTTCATTTGACCAAATTTGACTTGGTCAAACTTGCTCAAATGAGACACTAAATGACCTCAGATGAAAAAACTCTGAATACCAAGTTTGATCATCTCAGCAAGATCTACAATTGTTACATATCTCATTTTCCTATTTGAGAAAGTTTTATCAAACACTAGTCATAAATTCTTGAATCTCATATAGACTTTCCGAAACTATGTCACACACTTGTGAAATTTGAACTACATTTTGTTCAAACTTTCTCAAATAAAAAAATGGCCTATATAAGGATTGTAGATCTTGATGAGCTGAACAAACTTGGTATTCAAAACTTTTCAATTTGAGACAATCTAGGGTTCCGAAAACTAGTTTGTAAGCATCGAAATTTAAAAATCACAAATTTGAACCGTCCAAAATATCTCAAATGGAAAGTTGACCAAAACAACAATTGTAGATATTGATGAGTTGAACAAACTTGGTAATCAAAACTTTTCAATTTGAAGTCATTTAGAGTTCATAATACTAGAGTCAAAGTGTTATTTTTTCATTTGACCAAATTTAACTTGGTCAAACTTGCTCAAATGAGACACTAAATGACCTCAGATGAAAAAACTCTGAATACCAAGTTTGATCATCTCAGCAAGATCTACAATTGTTACATAGCTCATTTTCCCATTTGAGAAAGTTTTATCAAACACTAGTCACAAATTCTTGAATCTCATTTAGACTTTCTAAAACTATGTCACACACTTGTGAAATTTGAACTACATTTTGTTCAAATTTTCTCAAATGAAAAAATGGCCTATATAAGGATTGTAGATCTTGAATCCATGACCATGACTCTATGAGACCCATGAAGCCATGAGCTTGGCTATTTCTACTCATGCCGCGAAGATTGGTGCTTGTATGATGTTTGATGTATGATGTATTTGTATCTTTATCTTATTTGTTGCTTTACTCTTTAGTCTTTCGGCTTAATCTAGCTGGATTATGGACTCATAGAGTGGTGTAATGGTTTGCGCACGTATGATATATATATATGCTGCTTTTACTCAATATCCGAATAGATATTTGTATCCGACCTTCTCCGAATCCGATTCATACCGTATTCGATACTCATTATTCGTATCCGTAACCGAGTCAACCCGTATTCATATATGTATCCGAACGCTATCCGTGTCCGAATCCGAATCCAAACATAAATATGAAAACAAATATAATATGAGTGATATCCGTTCGTATCCGATCCGTTTTCATCCCTACGTATATATGGCGAGATGCAGGGAATCGGCGACGCGCGCGTGAAGATGAGTGATGGAGATAGAATACATAAGCATAACTAGTGGTCACTGAAAGTGAAAGGTCGAAGATAAGCACACTAGAGATTAGCACCCCCACACTATGTACAGATAGACATCGAGTCAGCTTGTTACAGTGACACCTAACCATCTTGGTTTTATTTCCTTTTGTTTCTCTCTTATATATATATATATATATGTGTGTGTGTGTGTGTGTGTGTGTGTGTGTGTGTGTCCAATTCACCATACCTGAACTAATGAACAAATGATGCACTACTTTAAATACAAAACGACCCATGTTTAGTAATATATGAAGTAATAGTAAGCAAGACAAAAAAAATTGTGACTGCATTCACGATGGAAGGCTTATTTGCATCAACCTACTTTGAGAATGAGTAGAGCTGCAAATCGACGATATTCCACTCGATCAGCGGTAAGGCACCCCCAAAGTCGCTTGATCAATTGGACTGGCATATGCATACGACCTGGCAATGGGAATAGAATAATGGTGCTTATCTTATGATTTCACCATGAACTTAGCAATTGTGTGTACTGCATTCCAGTTGTATTTCGTTGTCCACCTTTTTTTGGGTGTTCTCAGTTGCATTTTAGTGAAACATAAACTCTAGACTAGACTTCTCGTATTAGGCCTTCATTTTATCATAGCACAACTCTATTTTGTGGTGGATTATTAGCTGACATATGAGACAATTGGGATTTAAATAGGGCAAACTAGTACTGTTTGTGTTACTCTATGAGCCATCTTAAACTAAACAATATTAAATACAGTAGAAGACTTGTCTTGTTGACTACTTCCCCGTGGCATATATGTTGCTGGTGGTTTTAGATAGGGACCAAATTTCCTATGGATGGAATAACCAAATGTATCGTCTGTGCTGATATATTCTTTTGCTTCTTGTTGTGCATCACCATTATTGAATCTCTTTGAACTAGGACGATGGATAACATTTTTAGTGGCACAAGTGGTCGTGTTGGCGAATCTGGAGAAATCTTTGGGGCAGATCAGTGGGCTTTTGGTTATTCTGCTTCTTTGCAATCTTTGGGTGTTCCTCCAAACCCCTAGGTTTATTGTAGCCATGCATGATGGTTTGTTCTATTTACATATCAATACATCAATGATTAACAGTTCTTTTCATCACTAGTTCAACATGCATGACTCCTCCTAGATGTCCTGCCCACCAATGAATGGGCAACTTAGTCAGGGGTTCTCCATTGACAACACTCATGGCTCTCAGGACCCTCCATCATTGAAATCACAGAGGGCCGCAAAGAAGAAAAACGTGTCTAGGAGAGGAACTGCATTCACCAAAGAAGAGGACTTGGCGGTGTGTTCGGTATTTCTGAATATTAGCAAAGACCCTATTACTAATAATAGTTTGCAACGTCTTTTAAGAAATCTTTGACCCTTTGATGCCCAAATAACATGGTGGCATAACATGCAGGTGTGAATCAGACTTCAGGTGGTTATTACAAGAGGATGCATGATTATTTCAATGAGCATAAGCCTGAAGGGTCCAACCATAGCCAGATTGCGATTCAGTATAGGTGGGCATTGATTCAGATAGCGATGAACAAGTTCTGTGGGCACAAAGAAGCTATTGATAGGCTGAATGAGAGCGGAAAAAATGAGCAGGATTGGGTATACTTCCACTCATGTTGTCCTCCATCTCTCTAATTTCCATATGTTTATTTTTTGGATCGGTTTAGTCTATATTCATATGTGCAGATTGATGATGCTGTACAAATGTACGAGAGGACATAACCTTTTACCATCATGCATTGCTGGAAAAAACTTCGCAACGAGGCCAAATGGAACAATAAGTTTCTTGAGCTAAACAACTCTACATCACCGGATGGAATGTCATCTCCTCCAACTCAAGGCCATACTGTGGCTAGCCATGCAGAATCTGGGAATGAGAATATAGACACATCACGTCCTAAGGGTAGGGATAGTACGAAGAGGCGTAGATCAAAGAGCTTCACAGAGACATCGTCATCTAGTACGGCTGTTGAAGTCGTCCAACAGTTGTAGGAGAAATCAGAGAAGACCGAACAGAAGCAAGACCAGCAAATGACTGAAATCCTTAGTAGGAAGGATGAAAAAAAATTAAAATTCAAAGGGATCTTTTCAACCTTCAGAAGAAGCATATGAATATGAGTGTGTAGCAGAAAAAGAAGGAAAATGCTATTAGAGAGAAGGTGTCAGAGGCTCACCTGATATCAGCTGAGTCTAGTATTATGTCGGTTGACATTGGGAAGGTCCCCTTTTATCTGAAAAACTATTATCTTGGCATGCAGCGGCAAATTATGGAGCGCACAGGATTCATCAGCCCCTCGAGCAATGAACTAGAGTTGAATAAATGTATTATGTGCAACTTTTCTATTATCTATTGAACTAATGTATTATCTGTAGTGTTGTGAATTGTTGTGTATATGCAATCTGATTTTGCCTATCTGTAGTGTTGTACGACAAGATAACAATAGAAAAGAATAGTTGCTTAATGCTTACCACCACATTCTGATCTTGAACATATAGAATGCCTTTCTTGTCATACTCTTGCTTTTTTGCAGTATTACTCAGAACTGTTAAAGGAATGCTAAGGCTTCAGAAACAATAACACAAGATCAAGATGTATTATAATAGACCATGATATGTCAGTACCGATATATTTCTGAAGTACCAAATAGGCATACGCTTTGAGATTGTAATATGAATTACAGAGTCTACATTACCTGACTGATGGTAGGCAGAGCTACTCGTTTCCTATGTTGGAAAAGCCATGTCAGTTACCTACCTTTTGTTTTGAAAATACTTCTAGATTGAAGGTCCACACCACTGAAATAATTACAGAACTCCAACAGAATTCCACCACAGATATCATATATTTCTTATCAACAAGCAACAAAATATCTACATGTGTCGGTTGCCAATAAAATACAAAGGCCTTATTAGTAGGCTGCCTGCAGCTAAGCCAGCAGCTACATACAAAGACGGCAACAAAAAAAACTAAACCTACAGGTAAATACTTTAGTTCTTGTTATTAGAGCCAAAAGGACCAGAGCATTGGCCGTAAAGCATCCACATGTGTTCCATCAGGTCGTTTTGAAGTTGAGCTGTTGTCTCTCTGTCCTGAATGATGTTTTGAGCATCAACAAGTTTCTCAATTCCTGAGATTTCTCTATCCTGATTAATTGGTGGGTCAGCCACTCCATGCCATTCTAATGGGTGGATATTAGGTAGCTGAACCCCGCGCTTATCTTCAACTACCATGTTGTGAAGTATGACACAAGCACACATGATGGAATTAAGTACTTTTTTATTCCATAAACGAGTTGGCCTATGCAAGATTTTCCACTTAGCCCGTAGGACACCAAAAGCTCTCTCCACGTCCTTTCGACATGACTCCTGTTGCTCTGAAAATACCTTTTACTTGTTGCTAACTGGCAAAGGAATGCTTTTCACTAGTGTAGCCCAATCGGGATAGATGTCATCTACTAGGTAGTATCCAAGGGAATATATGTTGTCGTTGACATGGAACTCAACAGAGGGTGCCCTCCCGTTAGCCAAATCATCAAAAACATTGGAACGATGCAAAACATTAATGTCATTGTCAGACCCTGGTAAACCAAAGTAAGCATGCCAAATCTGAAGATCCTCGGTCGCCACCGCCTCAAGTATTAGAGTTGGCTTGCCTTTGTGCCCTCTGTACATGCCTTGCCAACTAGTCGGGCAGTTAGACCATTCCCAGTGCATGCAATCGATGCTGCCTATCATTCTCGGGAAACCTCTAGCCAAATTGATGCTTAATATGTGCTCTATCTCCTCACTTCTGGGAGGACGAAGAAATTCTTTGCCGAACACCTCGATCACAGTCATAACAAATTCCTTCAGGGTGTCCAGGACAGTACTCTCTCCCATTTTCAAATGATCATCCAACTCATCAGCTGGGCCTCCATATGCTAGCATCTTTACAGCACTGTGCACTTGTGAAGAGTAGAGAATCCTAACTGCCCAGTAGCATTTCTCCTCTGTTTGAAGAAGGTATTCTTGGCAGTGACCTCATCCACTATCTAAAGGAACAATTCCGTCTCATGTGGAACCTACAACACAAAATTAGAATTGTTTATCAAATTAATTCAATGTGTCATGCAAATGGAAACTAGGCCAAAGATTGTACCTCCTAAAATGTTCCTCATTGTAAAGTGGACGTTCAACAAAGTAGTCCTGATTCAGTTATCGGTCCGCTGCAATTCGATCACGCTTGTAAGTCTTGTGGCTTGGCACCGAACCTCCCCAAGGGCACTTTTGTGGCGTCTGGGTGAGGACGACCACCACAGCCATGATCTCATCATCCCTGGAGTATGTTGCAGCTGTCCCGAACATTGAAATTTTGACATAATTCCAAGCCATGGCAATGCAACTGCAGTCCAGGTCTAAAGTCAAGCTGGTTTAGGGACAAATTGGCCACAAATTAAGGGCTCGTTCGTTTTACGCTCCATCCAAATGGATTGGAGGAGATTGAGAGGGATTTGATACCCTAGAATAGCTATAGAAGTGCAACGTCAATCCGAGTACCTATATCACACAAACACGACAAGCAGAGTAGCTGTAAAATTACAACGTCAATCCGAGATAGCTGTAGAAGTACATACAACGCGTGGATATGTGAAATCGCAATTGAGTCACAGACAATACTCACCATTGTACCAATCTCAATCTCCATCTCAACCCTAGGAAAAGTCAAAATCCCTCCCAATCCCCCTTCATCCTCTCCAACTCCACTTGGATTGGGGGTGCAACCCACGAGCCCTAAAAGTGGAGGTGACATCGAACAACCAAATCGCTAGAAATAAGTTTACCTGATTGACTCAGTTGTGCCAACGCCCGGCCTTGTGCTGGCGGTTGATCGCCGGTGGCTACCTCGCTGCCAGTTTGATTCCCTTCTCGCACGCAGCCGGGGCAGCAAGATAATCCCGCCATGGAGCCAAGCCTGCATTACGCACGATACCCTCCCCTCCGTTTCCCGCAAAAATTTCATGGACCGCGCGCGAACGAAACCGTCCGTGTTCCGGCCTTTCCTTCTGCGTTCGTGGTTAGAGAAGGAAGCTTTTAGGGGCGTGACTTTTTTATTTCAGGGCGACGCATACTATAAATAGGCCTCCAATTTTGAGTCGTATTGTTGGAGACAGTCTGATTAAAACCTACTTCACTCTGCTGCAACGAGGGGGTTCGGAGCCTTGATGGCCCTTCCTAGACTCGACACCTGTCTCATCCCATCTTGCAGAGAAAGCTGCAGCAGCCCGCAAGCCCACACGGCCGTCACGCGTCCCTGCCCCCAAATCGTCTCCCTCGCCTGCCCCACCTCACGCCTCACGTGTTCAGCGCTGCGCTCGGGGAAGCAGAGTGGTGCCTCGGCGTCCATGACGGATGGCCCCCTGCTGCGATTGGGCCTGTTGGCAGGGACGAATTGGCGTGGGAGCAGGCGCGTCGTCGACCTCCCTCGATCGCCCCTCCCCGCGCCGCCCGCGTTGGGCTTCGCGACGGCCGCTCGGGAGAGCAGGTGGGTGAGCCCCGATGTGCATGACAGATGGGACCCTCCCGCGCTTCGGCCCACAGGCAGTCTCGAGTGCCAGATTGCCGTGCGTGCTGGCGCGCGAGCTCCAGATAGGAGGGCGATAGGGGTCCTCAAGAGCTCCTGACAGGCGCGTCGCGTCGGAGGACGACGCTCGTCGCGCGCCGTACCCGCGTGCGCCCGGCCATGCCTCTGCGGATGACGGCGCTGTACCCGGTGAACAGTGTGCGGCGGCCCTGCCATCTCGTCTGGGAAAATCACGGGCGCCCCCCATCTGCTGGTGAGTCGTTCCTTCCCCTTTTCTACCCGGTCAGCTGAGGCCCTCGCTCTCTACCTGTTCATACCCATACCCATCGCCTCGCCCGCATCCCCCATGGACAGAACGTCCGAGACCTCCGCTACGGCGACTGGTGCAGGACTCCTCCGCCAAGGGCAATCCCACGTGGGGGACGTACGCTGCTGTTGTCTTCGGCTGCTAATCCGATGGTGGCGCAGCAGCATTCATCTCATAAGATCCGCATGACAAGATGTGTTCATCTTTGGATTTCTTTGTAATTTGGTTTTGGATTTGCTCATTTTAATCAGTGCTTCTGATCAATTTCAGATGTAAATAATTGAGTGCTGAGAGAAGGCAGAGCAAAGGGGCCAGAAGAGAAGAGTGGCGTCTTTGATTGAAGGTTGGCGAGAACAAACTCAATCCTGCAGTTCTTGTGCTGCGCAGATTTGCCTCTGTTTTTGTGATGGCCTGAAACAAGATGCTACATCTCAATTTTCTGATCCAATCCAAAGTGTTTTTATTTGTTTGAGATTGAATTAACCGTCTGTTTTTTTTCCTGAACAAATCAAGGCATCCATTATATTATATCCCATCATAAACAGGTTGCTCTGAGATGCACAAGAGTTGAAGATGTATTGTTTTTAGAATAATAACCGATTGGTTAGTTTGATAATGAATGCTTTGCCCTAACCTTAGTGAGGCATACGAAGCCACCTCAGTGAGGCATACGAAGCCACCCCACCCGCACTCGGCCAGGCCATCTCCAAACCAAACCCTAACCTTATCTGCAGACTGCAGCGGGACCGGCGGACGGGGCGGCTCCTG